GGGAGTACTCCTGGATGCCCCCTTAACAATGGAGGCCCAGGTAGCAGCCACTGCCAAGTTGGCCTTTTACCATCTTTGGCTGATCAGGCAGTTGGTTCGCTTCCTTGAACGCAACGATTTAACAACAGTGATCCACGCAATGGTCACCTCAAGATTAGACTACTGTAACTCTACGTGGGACTGCCCTTGTCGCCAATCTGGAAGCTGCAGCTAGTGCAAAATGCAGCAGCTAGGCTTTTGATGGGTCTCCCCGTGAGGGAGCACATCCAGCCCACCCTGAAGGCACTGCACTGGCTGCTGATAGCATACTGGATTCGCTTCAAGGTGCTGGTTCTTACCTTTAAAGCCCTTTATGGCCAGGGTCCGACTTTTCCCCCAGAGAGCACTACGGTCAGGGTCACAAAACCGATTGGCCCTCCCAGGTCCTAAGGGCGCCAGGTTAGTTGTAACCAGGGCCAGGGCTTTCTTGGTGGCGGCTCCACACTGGTGAAATGAGCTCCTGGAAGAGATCAGGGCCCTGAGGGACCTCTTACAGTTCTGCAGGGCCTGCAAGACGGAGCTCTTCCACTAGGCTTTTAACTAGGAGCTGCCATTACTACTAACAACACTATGAACAACATCTGAAACCTGTAGAGCCTGGTCCCTAGTTGGTTACCGACAGCCTGTGCATGCCGATTATATCTGAGGAAGATCAGAGAGCTGGAAACTTAAACAACTTATGGAATGCACTCATGCAGTGACACCATTGTTATGACATCAAAATAACATAGCTAGCACTTTAATATTGTATTGTTTTAATGAACTGTTTTTAAATGTTTTATGGTAATTCTGATTGTTAATATATATTTTATCCTATGTAAGCCATCCTGAGCCTGCTTCTGCGGGGTAGGGCAGGGTATAAATTGGAAAAATAAATAAATAAATAAATAAATAAATACTTTGTTACATATACATAAAATTTTTGAAGATGGAAAATCCTTAATTTCTGTAAAATTCCCCCATAATAGGGTTTTTTGGTAATTATATTTTTGCTCTGTTTTTCCCTATCCCTTCTTTTTTTCTGTATCCCTTATGATATAATAAAAAAGTTAAATAAAAAATAATTAAGGAACAGCAGTGCAAAACCAAGAGGTAAAACAATTTTGACTGGTCAAATAGATCTCTTGGTATTATGTGCAACAGACGGAAAAATCAGAAGGGGCATCTCTTTCAAAAGGTGGATAGACTTCTACTGAGGCCTATTCTGGCCATTAATAAATCACTCAGACTTCTAGATGAGGAGCAGAAGGCAGGCTTCCTAAGAGGAATTGTGCCTCTGAGAATACACAGAAGGCCCCTTTCTGACAACAAGAGTGAGTACAGCCAGCACATGCGTAGTAGGACTGAGAAGGATGGACTTATGGGTCAGAGGGCAGGGTTGGCAAATTAATCTAGGAGACTGAACTTGGTTGCTAGCACCTGGGGCCCCACCCCTGTCCAGTGAGTTAAAGAACTGCAAATAGAGCCCAGGCTCCCTAGACCCCTTGGGCAAGTCACTGTTTCTCAGCCTCAGTTTGCCCCTCTGTGAAATGGACATATTGATTTCCCTCATGGATACAAAGACACAGAGGGTGAATCTGCAACCATCTAAATGGCAGGGGAGCAGCAGGAGTTTCTGAGTCTTAGCTTCCCAGTGCCAGGGTGTGGGGAACCTTCAAAGGTCCCTCTTATCTTAGAAGCAGCAGGGGTGTCTTAAATGCCTTGTGAGAAGGGAGGTTGGCAGCACTGTTGAGGCCAGTGGAGGTCATTTGCCCAAGGTCACCCGATTTCATTTGCCCTCTGGAGCCAGACTGTCTCCACCTTCTCCCATCTCTCCCCCTGTTTACCAAACCCTTGTGAGTTCTGGAGAGCAGCTGTTCTCTGGGCCAGCTCAAGTCACCTCCTGTTGCCCTTTAAGGACTGAGAGTGCATCTGGGCTGGTGTGTTGCAGTGGGGTCCAGCCCTCTGAGCGGGGGCTGAGTTATTTATTTATTTACTTTGTTTATTCCCCCCATCTTTCTCCCCAGTGGAGATCCAAAGTGTCTTGCATCATTTCGCTGTCCTCCACTGTGTTTTCAGCAACAACCCTGTGAGGTAGGTTAGGCTGAGTGTGTATGACTAGCCCAAGGTCAACCAGCAAGCTTCCATGGCAGAGTGGAAATTTGCACCCGGGTCTCCCAGATCCTAGTCTGTCAATCTAACCCAGGAATCCCCAACATGGTGCCCATGGAAGCCTGGCACCGGCTGACACCTTTCCTGGTGCCTGCCAAGTGTTTTTAAAAAATTAGTAGGGCCATCAGGACTTGCTCTCTGAGGTCTGATTGGCGGTGCAGATTAACATAACTTTCGGCAGCAGCTGCCACCACAGTGTTGATTTCATTATTTTTCTTTCACTGTTCTTTCCCAGAGCATTTTGTAAAATTACTCCTCTTGTTGCCAGCACTTGGGAATCCGTTGTGTGTGGCTCTACCACTCAGCGTGGCAGCCATTTTGTGGCTGTGCCCACCACCTTGTGTCAGAATTCCAAAGGTGCCCACAGGCTCAGACAGGTTGGGGACCCCTACACTGACTACTACACCACACTGGCTAGTGGAGTTTGTTCTTCTGAGGTGGATGTTGGTCCAGGAGGACGATCGTTGGTCAGTCTTCCTGCTAGCTAGGATTTCAGGTCTAAAAAACAACCTATTTATACCATGAACTGATTCCTGGTTTATTCCCTTGTCAAATTTAATAATTTTGACAGGGGGGTGGGAAGAGCATCAAAATGACCAAGGGCTCAGGGCTTCTCTGCCAGACTTGGGTGCAGATGCAGTTAGCAAACACTGCCGCAGATTCTGAGCATCATAAAGCAAAGTTCTCTAGTAATCTGCCCCCAATCATCCTTAGCAGCTTGAACCCTCAGCTTTTATGTGCCTGAACCGCTCACTCATTTCCTTACCTGGGTCATAGAATAAATAGTGGCTTTACACCTAAGCCAGCTGTCTGGGGTTCTATTCTCAGGCCTGTAATCTGCTTCAAGAAGGTAAAGCTTTTCCTGAAAGGGCCTAAGGCCCTTGCTCTGACCCGCCTCTCCCTTTCTTGTTCTGCCACACTGTGCCCAACCTGCCCAGACGTGATCCTTTGCAATGTCTATGGGAACATATGCTACAGTTAACTTCTAATCTTGTCAGTGGGGGCACAAACTCGCCTAGAAAGCCCATTCTGTAGCACAGATTTGTACTCCCTACAGCTAGGTTGTGGTCAGTCGGGGTGACCCAAAGGTATTCTGTTCATGCTCTGGATGTCTCTGTTCTTGGTTGTTGCTATGTATGTTTAGGGCTCAGTCTGGGGATGAGTGGTTCCCAGGGCGTAGCTAAATAAGGTTCAGTCAGTCTCTACACTTGGCATGGAAAAGAGACTTTGGAGATGGTCTGAGCTTTGGGGTGTCCCTGAGGCTGAGCGACATTTCCTTGTTCGTGTAGCTTTTGCTCAGCGGTGGCCTCCGGGGGACACGGCCCATCCTTTGCTGAGCTCTGTCTCGACGTGCCCACGGAGCAAGCGTGACACTGCCTGACTGCTGAACGTTGAGTCTTAAGCAGGGTTGGGTGACCCTGGGCAGGCTGCGTGCCTTCGAGCACTGGGTCATTGGGACACGTCTCAACCGTCCTATGCAGCGAGGTCTTATAACTGGTGCCTGGATCGTATCCAACATTGTTCCATTCCTCCAGCGCTGGCAGAGAATATCTTCAGGCAGGACAGACCAGTGTGAAAGGAGGTGGAGGGAGCTATTTTCTCTTCTCTTGTGCTCTTGGTCCGCCAAAAATCACCACCCCAGAGCTGCTGGGTACTCTCATTGGGGAGCGTTTACCAATAGGTTTCCCCAGTGGAGTGTGTGTGTGTGTAAAAATCATCTTGGAGGGGGGCCATTTTCAGTGGGGGCAAGGTGCCAAGGGAAGGATCTCAATCCCCACCCCACCCCCAAGCTTTTCTGCTCTTGCAAATTGCAGCCTTAGTGCAGTATTTTTAAGCAAATCTTGGGAGGAAATAATACACACCTGCTGAATAGTTCTTCCCTTCCTGAAGTGCTAAATCGCAGTACCTCTTCAGACAGTCTGGCCACTTCCACAGTGTCATTTTTGTCACTTGCTTGTCCCTATTGCTTCAGGGTCCCCCGTTCCCCCCACTGTGTTTTGCTCTCTCTAGTAGTCCCCGATGGAGCAAAACACATGTGGAAAGGGGGGCGGGGCCGAAGCAATAGGGACAAACGAGTGACAGAAATGACAGTGTGGAAGTGGCCAGCATATGTTTTTCTCTGTGTGACCTCTTTATGTGTAACCTTTGTAAAGGCATCTCTCTGTAGTGTTCTGAGGTGACGTGTGTTGTGCTGCCTCCTTGCCTTCCTTATTTTCACGGCCAGCAAAGGCCATTCTTAGCTGGACCCAAAGAACAGGATGACATAGTGGTATATGGTAGATTGATAGAACGGTCAGCGCATGGAGGTGGTTCTGAGGTAAAAGGGGCTCCATCAAAACAAATAGTTGTTTTTCTTAAACATGAATATAGTTTATAAGTAAAACAGTGTAATGGTTTCTGTATGGTTAATAAGCCTAATGGTTTCAGACAGGCGTAATAGCTTCAAATAGGTGTACAATTCTGGTTTCTCTAAAGTTTCTTAAATAAAGCTAACCTCACAGGCTTATTTTCTCACTTGTCACTTAGTCTCATAACTTCCACACAGGCTTATTTTCTTTCCTTGCCATGTTTGGGCAGCACTGCCTCATACAGCATGTCTGAATGCTCTTTGGAACAAAATATAACCCCTTCACACAGAAAACTAGCATCTCAAGAACAACGACAGCTTGTATATTATAAACTATCCTTCGCAACACCAGTTTTGGGTTGTTGTGTGTTTTTTTACAGAGGAGCAGTCCAAACAGTTTTTCCACCTCAGTAGGAACAAGACTTAAGTCTCATGCTAAAATCTCTCCCTGTCTGCCTGTCAGGTCTACCAAGGACTGGACATAATCACCAACAAAGCTTCCCTGGAAGAACAGGCGCTGTGCAAGCATCACATGATCAGTTTTGTGGACCCTTTGGTGACAAACTACAATGTGGTGGACTTCCGGAACAAAGCCACAGCCCTCATATCCTTTCCCAGGGAGGTGTTCTCCCTCCTTTTTGTATAGGCGTAATGTCAATGGTACTGCACAGAATGCAGCTGGGGGGCTGCTAAGCAACATTTGCCAGGCAAGCAGAGATGGAGAAAGAACTCTGGAGCTGGTTATAAGGGAAGACCGAAACGTGGAAAACAGATATGTCAGAAATCTCTAGGTCTCCTCCCAGTCTTTCCTTTCTCTAGCAGAGGTGGGCGGCAAGTGGTATGTGCCCCTAGACTTCCATTAGAATTTTGTAAATCAGGTTTCTAGTCCTCGTTGTATTTAAAGAGGAAATTGAACAGAAGAAAGGCATTGAAAACAAATCTAAAACCCTTTTCCCTCCCCAGTTGGCTTGCATTTTGGGATAACAGTTTCAGGACAGCAACACTGCAGAACAGTAATGCTCTTGTGAGGTGGGGTGGTGCCTTCTTTTTATAAATACCGGCACGTGTCCTATGGCTCTCTGGCTTCAGATGGTTGCTGTTACTCCAGTCCCAGCAATGAAGTCCCTACATGTGTGTGGATCATTTGGTAATACAGAAGCTGGATGGCTGGCATCAGAGAAGGGGGGGGGGGAGAGGATAAAAGGCAGAGAACTGTTGTGCTATTTGACCCCACTGGCACTTCGGAAAAAGTGCAGGAATCTGTTGCATTCTTGAAGTTGGGGGGGGGGGCAACTCTTGGCACATAATTTTGGTGGCCCTGGGGTGCCTGGGGAGGGCTGCGTTTTCTCAGCCATCATAGAAAGTGACAAGACACAGTCTCCACTCATGCTCCTCAACTGCCCACATTGAAGACCTCTTTGCCCACAAGACGATCCCGATTGTGGTTGGGGGGACCAACTATTACATCGAATCTCTGCTCTGGAAGGTCCTCATTGACCCCGAGGTAAGAACAGCCTGCTTTGTGGGGGGGGGGGGGTTTGCATTTGGGACTGTGGGTGCTTGTTCAGTGACAAAAAGGGTGTCAGATGGCCTGGTAGGAGAAGCACCAAGCATCAGACTCCTTTTAGGGCTGGGGTGGAAGGTCTAACTGAATGGGGTATCCAAGGTAATGAAGGGTTTCAGCAAGATCTTGTCAGTCCTCAAGACTCCGGCCTGCTCAGAGCTTGCTGTGTTTGTGTCAGTGTTCCAAAGGACCTTCCTACAGTGCTCCTGTTTTCTGCTCAGCTGATCTGAGATGGGGGTAGGTGGGGTGGAGATGTTGATGGGCCAGCATATCGAGTAAGAGCATTTTGTCCCTCTGCATTTTGTAACCTGCCCCCTCCCCCAGAGTTTCCTGGGCCTCATCGATTCCTGTAGGCCTTGAAATGTTTGCAGAATCTTTACCAAACTGCACCATTCAAACGTCACAGCTCTTGGCCTCAAGACCTTTGTTTGTCCTGTCTCAACACACATGCCTTCAAAGCATGAAAAATCTGAGTATTAAACATAACTTCATTGCCAGATTAACTTTTCCTGATACCTTCCAGTTATTGATGTGAAGCTGTTTTTTTGTTTGCAACTGAGGGCTGTTGCCAGCTTTGCCCGTTGTTTTGTTCCTGAAAGGGAATGTGCTTTCAAATTACACAGAACTCTGGAGAGCCAGTGTGACACAATGGTTAGAGCACTGGACTAGAATCTGGGAAATTTAGGTTCAGATCTCCACTGTGCCACGGAAGGTTGTTGGGTGAGCTTGATCCCATCACACACTCTCAGCCTAGCCTACCTCAAAGGGTTGTTGTGAGGATAAAATGGAAGAGAGGAGAATAACTTGTAACACCTTGTTGATCCAGGTGGGCAGCCGTGTTGGTCTGTAGCGATCGAACAAAGTCAGCATCCAGTGGCTCCTTTAAGACCAACAAAGTTTTATTCAAGGTATGAGCTTTCCTGTGCATACACGTCTGAAGAAGTGTGTGTGCACAGGAAAGCTCATACCTTGAATAAAACTTCAATGGCCTTAAAGGAGCCACTGGACTCTTGACTTTATTCTATTGTAACACCTTGCATTAAACGTGCTTCTCCATTAAAGGGCCTTGTGGGGTTCTCTCTGTCCAGCTTGCTTCCCTTGAGCAGGACCCCATGAGGCTGGGGGAGGGAGGTTGAATGCCACTTCTGCCCTGCTAAGAAGCAAGCTAGAAGCTCACCTGCAGGAACGTGGGTTATGGGGGCTTTCTAGAAATGCAGGTTTGGATATTACCCGGAAATATCTCCTACAGAAGAAGACCAGGCCTCTGGGTCCAGGAGGCGGAGCGGCCGATCGGAGGCTTGAGCTGGAGAAGTTGGACGGCCAAGAGCTCCATCGCTGCTTGAAAGAGGTGGACCCCACGATGGCAAGCAGGCTTCACCCCCACGATAAGCGCAAGTTGGCCAGGTGAGTCTTCCCGGCTAGGCGCCTAACTGCACGGGAGATTCTCAGTCACTGTGCTCAACAGGGAGAGCAAGACTGGCAGGCAGCTAGGTGCAATCTAGCACTCCATGTTCTTTGAGTTCTTGACACAAGAGCTGCCCACTGGATGAGGCCAAAGGCACCATGTTGCAGTGTCTGCAGCAGTGGCCAGCTGGCCGCTTCCAGGAAGCTCCCAGGAAGGCAGCAGTCCTTTATCTGATGTTCAGAGGTATACTGCCTCCAAACATGGAGGTTCTGTTACCAGATCTTTCCTCCATGGTGGTGTGCAGCTTTCTTTCCACATCGCTGTATCGGATTGTCGTAGCTTAATTCTAACATGTGGGAATTTCTTTGTGAGGTTATGGAAAGATGAGAGAGAGGAGCACTTTGCCAGTGCTCCAAGTTACTTTCCTTTTTTCACTTGTGCTTTGTGAACTCCCAAGTCTAAGCCTTGCAGAGGATCTGGGCTGTGTGCAGCAGTCCTGTCAATGTCAGCGGATGCAG